ACTTAACACCTACGCCCACAACAACCCCAACCTGACCCTGTTGCCTGAGCCTTGGGTGCCGCCAATTTGGTTTGTAATTTCTGCATATTTCAACTACTTTGTTATATGTGTTACTAATCATGTCGAGATCGACTTGGCTGTTGGCTAACAAGTGTGAGATTAGAATTAAAAATTGTTTCTTACGTTTCTCTAAATCATTTGCGATGACGGCATTAGCTGCAGCTGTCGCTGTTGTGGCCGTGGCGTCTACTGCAGCTGCTTGAGCTACGGTTACAGCTGGTGTTGACTTCGCTGGCTCTGGTGATTTGCTGCGCTCCACGCTGCGCATGTCCACATCCAAATAAATTGGCGATCGACTGCGCGATCGCGCATTGCTTGAGCCACCCGATTTGCTGCGGCCGCTTATAGTTTTGTGTGTGGCATTGCGCTTGGATTTGGCTGGTGAGCTAGCGGGTGAGCTGCTCTTGCGCTTACTGCTTGCCGGCGAGCCGCCATTGTGTGCATTGCGTTCGTTATGCTCCTTGCCGGAATGCTTGTCGCGAGAGCTTGACGAACGCTTAACAGGCGAGACACTGCTGCTGTTGCCGCCCTTGTGCCTGCCATCAGAGCCAGAGGATGATGTTGAGGCAGTAGAGCTTTTAGATTCGCTTCGCTTGCGATTGCTTGAGGAGCTGTGGTGATTACTGCTGCTGCTTAACTTGCTGGAGCGGTTGCTGCCTGTGTTGCGCAGCGGTGACTTGCTGCGCGATCGACTAGATTTGTGTGTTGTTGTTGAGGAGCTGGAGGGAGCGGGCGCTTTGTGGCTCTCGAGGCGTGAATCAAGTGCACGCATAGGCGCTGCCATTTGTGCTGACTGTTGCGGCTGCATTTGGCGCGCCAGGCGCGGATCGCGCGGACGCACCGAATTGAGCATAGCCGGATTAACCGGATGCACCTTTGGCTTGTTGGCAAAAGCCTGCGAATTGTCAGATATTAGCTTTGTTTGACTTATTTTTACTTAAGGATAACCTACCGGTTGTCCAATTATTGGAATCATGCCGCCAGAAGCAACAGGCGCCATGGGACGCACATGCCGCATGCCGCTTGGATACATGGGAGGCGCCACAGTGGGTGGTATGACTGTTTCCATGCCTGGTGGACGCAGTACGGATACGGGAGCAGGCATGCCGATTGGCGCTACAGCAATGGCATCTGCTGCTTGACTTAGTTGACGCTCCTGTTCCTTTAAATGCATTTTAGTTTGCTCCAATTCAAGTTCCAGCTTCCGCTTCTTGAGCTCCAGCAGCTCACGAGTTTTAGCCTGTAATATCTCCTCCATGTCGCCAGGCAGGGCCGAGTTCACGGGCATAGGCACCATGCCCTATAGATACACACGTGATTAGCTAACTTTCTTATCTTTTTTTTTTTTTCGTTTTGTGCCTTAAGACTTACCGTCTTTAGAAAATCGGGATTGACATGTATGGCAGGATTAACGTGTATTTTGTTTGGCTGACTTGGTTTGGCAGTAATCGGCCAATTGTTGTCCAGACGTTTGACTTTAACATCTAGGGCATACATTTTGGATGGCGGGAACACATCGTTCCAGGTCTGCCGGAGCAGATACATGCGCTCACGCACTTTCTCCAGTACCTGCGATGGCGAGTGTTGTACCTAAGTATTGGGGTTTCGAAGATTAGTTAAATTAATTAACAATTACTTTTAGTGATAAGTTTGTGACTTACCGACTCGAAGGCGTTGAGAAATATGTTGACTATGCATTGCCCAAACAACTGAACGTAGCTGCTTTTCACATTCTTAATTATTGAATCAATTAAATATAGTATGGGCAATTTGAATTCGGGCGGCACCTGTTTGATTTGGTAAGATAGGTAAGAATAAATAGAACATAAGTTTCTACAACGTCGCTAGCGAAGTGTGTGGACACAGATTGAGGCACATCATCATCAACATCAATTCACTTAGTCCTGGGTCACGATTGACAATCATAATGACAATGACAACGACGACGACAACGGCAGCTGCTGCACACGAATGCATCTCCATGTTGTAGGTGGGGGCAGTTGAGCAAAGCAAAGCATTAGCCAAAGAGCTACATAACTTTGAAAGGGGCACTAACTACCAATTTGTGGAACTCTCAATGAAACCCAACAAAAGAAACGCCCTAAAACAAACCATAAATACAACATTTTCGAGTTAAAAATAATTTTGTATAAATTAATTATACGAAAGTATCCTAGTTCTGATTTTACTATGTTACATTGGAAAACAATATGTACATAACCTTTCAAGAAACCAATTTAATATGTTAAATTAAAAAAAAATCTTTAAATATCTAGATTTTGAGAGACATAACCTTCCTAGGATATCAACAGACTTTGAGGTTAGGTATGGAATAATATCACCTAGGTGTACAACGTAGAGGTATTAAAGGGGTTAAAGAGTTAATGCCGTGTACTTTTGAAGTTTTATACATAACTGAATTATTTTGCCTCAGTATCCTTCTTGCCAAAATTTCTTCTTTCTTTTGTTATACACAATTCGCTGCGTGTCAGATATATGTTATTATGTTTTGTTTGTTTTTTGTTTTTCTTTTCAAGCAATGTTTATTTCTTGTATAAAATAAAAGACAACTTGATGACAATTGTTTAAGTATTTTCTCTTTTATTGCAATTTTCTTTTCGATTCTTTTGTGTATTTTATGTACTTCAAGGTATCGAGGAAAAAGAAGAATAGAAGTATATAGTAAACGTCTTACCTTGTAGAGGATAAATCAGTCTCTGCTTAAAGCCCAAATAAATATTGTAAATTGAGTTAAGATAGTTTCTATTTTACAGTTTAAACGCAAAAACCAATGGATATTAGTTTCGCTGAAACTTACATAACGTTCATCTATTGGTTTTTTGGCTATCCAACCCAATTTATCTTAAGAGAACGTGTGCTTTGAGGTATTATCAAAGAAAATCTGGTTTAAGAGTGTAATAAATCTGTGATGTATTATGACGCTTTGGTAAATATGCCTATATCTTTGAACACAAAATTCATAAGGCGAAAAGTCCATCGATATTACTGACAGTTCTTTATTTTTTTAAATAAGACCAATAGAAAGAAAATATATGAATACATAATGCATGTATATATTCTCTTATCTGTCAGACCTTCTTAACCACGGTTGCCATAAGAGGTTCAAATGAACAACCTCAGATATTTTATAGATTTAACGGAACAAGGGAACTTTTTTCTAAGATTTGTATCTTCTGTACATATTTTTACATATTTCATATATATATTAATTTTTTCACCTTTCCAAATGTACAAAGATAAGCATCTACGTTCAATTTAGATTGAAGATTTTAAGAACTGAATACGAAATACGATTGTATAATTTACATCGAGTAACGTAATCCTCACATTTTTGTAAGATATCTAAGCAGGTGGCAAGCGTGTTCTAAATTGTTAACACTCGTCGTTATTGATGGCTTTTCAACTGAAGAACTATCGTGTTTTCCCTAAGGCACCTAGCACACTTTGGACATGGAGATCATGTGTTTACACAACTGCCGTGCGATTGGCGGGCGGCATTCGTGCGCAGGACTCGGATCACTTTGTTCATGTGTATGTTTCAGTATGTCGGATGGGTATGTGTGTGTGGGTGTGTGTCTCTATTTGTGTGGGTGTTGTAGCTGTTTAAGTAATTATGCTTTATTTGTTAACCTGGCTGATGTGATATTCCACCACGCGCACAATGACATGGGCATAGTTGATATTCTCCTCGGCGAGCATGGTGAGCATATTGATGAGCGGCTTGCTATTGCAATTCAAATCCGTTAGACTGGATAAATACTCTTCGCCAATGCGGCGTGCATCCTCCGGATAAGATTGGAATATATGATCCATAATCAGGCTTTCTTCTTGAATTCCTGTGGCTTCTCTTATATTCCGTATCACGATTTACAAAAAATGCAGTTGTTAGCTGAAATTGAAGAATTAACAACAAAAAAATAAAACAAATAAAATAATATTTAGCAAATATGCTTCATTTATATATCGCATATGATATACATATATGTTTACACACAAACATACATATATATATATATATATACATTTTCCGCAACATCCCAAGTCATGGGGTCAAACACAAACATTTTATGACCATATACAACAAAGAAATAATACACTAAATATATGCCTACATAAAATAATTGTTGATGTGGCTTCGCACCTATGAACACAAAACACATGTAAACAACTACACGCAGCCAACTCAATATATTTATATATACATGCACATACATACTGTTCATGGGCAAACAATAAACACACGGGCAACGGGGCTAGGGGAAGTTTTTTTCTCAGTAAATATTCAAAATGGCGGCCACCAGACATGCAAACACGCATTTTTTCACTGTTGCAAATATCTTCATTCTCAGACAATTCTATATTTTATGCACTTTAAACGTTTAAAATTGCTAAATAGACACTTATGATAATTGGATTATTTGCTGAACTTTGCATTTTCATTTTTTTTTCCCACATTTTTTGTTGCTGCAGCCACGTTTATACTGTACACGCACACGTTTACTTATAAAAAAATACAATTAGCACGCTTAAGACACGCTGGCAAACATACCTTTTAATATTAATACATTTGTACAATTCGTTTAACGCACTTTAATGAAGTGAAAAATATTTATTAAACACTTTTAAACTAAACAAAATCAGCCTTTGACAACTTTTTCACGTAACAACTGCGATGAATTTGATGAGTGTGCACTAGTGATGCGAAGTGAGTTGATAACCACATTGACGCGATTATGCTGCTGATATCGATAGTACTTGAGCAAAAATATCGCATATGATTTACAAATTTAATATCGATATTGGGTCAACTTTCTACTGCCTAGTTGGCAGCACAACTCCGAACAACCAGCTGTTGATTGATAGGGACAACAAAGGGGCGATAGATCTGGCCAACCAAATAGTTAATTTAATTTCATATACAAACTTCGCCAAAAATGGACGAGAGCGAAACTTATGTGCACAGCGCCTACCAGGTATCGATAATTCCAACGGATCTACATCACGAGGAAACTATAATCAGAGCAGCACAGTCGCTCGACTGCCTTAACAAAACAATAAACTCAATTTTCGGCCGCATCGATGCTCGATTAGAAAGAAATGGTGCCAAGGTTCAGCATATAAATGACCGTGTCATGCGTGCGCAGGCAAAAATTGATGCTCTCGTTGGCTCCAAGAAGTCTATTAAAATCTTTGCGCCCGCTCGCTTTCCCGGCAGCGCCATATTAAACAACATACCGGTCACTTTTCCCCCGCTGGTACAGAAGCCAATGGAAACGCCAACAACAACAACAACGGAGCTGCCACAGCGCCGGCATCGCAATCGCAATGCTGATTCTTCCAGTGAGCAGAACTCCGCCGCGGACATTGACTCGGTATTCTTTCATGTGCGTGGCGAGGATCAGCAGGAGACGCCACTGGTTAAGGAGCGCCAGCGCACCAATCGCATAGCCGGCCTGGGGAGCTTGCCAGCTGCGAAATCGGTGCCGGCGCTGATGCGTTTTAATACCAACGAATTTGCCTATGGCGGCGGCATCAATGGCACCGATGATTTGAATGCTTGGAAGCGCGCCCTACCGCCGCAAAGCCACAAGCGCACCGTTCACAAGCCAAAGCCGATTGGTACGGAGCTGTTGGCGCCGGCGCCACACTCATTGGCTCATGGCACCACAAAGCTGGCAACTCCCGCCGGAGATTTGCGTTATACGCCAGCAGCGCTGGCAGCGCCGGCGATAGATGTGCCACTTGATTTGCCCGATCTGCCGGGCATTGCCAATGACTTGCAATACGAGCCAGTCAAGGAGCAGACACCCATTGCGCCGTCGCATCAGTTTGTTGATTTGCCTGAATTGCCCGGTTTAATGGAGCCGGCGGCTGAGGTACCTGTGAACTTGGACATAACAGTGCAATCATTAGCGGCCCAAACGCACATGACCCGAAAAAGTAATCCAACGGTTGCGCCACCAAATATGCTACAAGCTCCACCACCGCCGCCACCACCACCACCGCCACCACCACCGCCGCCGCCGCCACCCCCACCCGCTCAACCTGCAGCCAAGCTGCCAACTGATGGAGTTATCAAACCCATATCGCCGTCGTTGGAAACACCTTTAAGCATACCAGATTCTCGTGCACCACCACCAGCCGATCCGCGTTCTGAGCTAATGGCTGCCATACGCAACGCGGGTGGTGTACACGGTGGTCGTTTACGTTCACCGGCCGCTGCGCCTGTCAATGTGGATGCTGTGGACACACAAAATGTGAACAACACAAGCCGTTCCAGAGCGGGCGGCGCTGCAACAGGTGGTGATCTTATGGCGGATCTGCACAATAAACTCATGCTACGCCGAAAAGGAATCTCGGGCAGTCAAAATCCTGCGGATCAATCGGGAAATCCCATGATGTTGCAACTGTCGAAAATAATTGCGGCGCCAGTAGAGAAGAGTAAAGGTTCCATGTCCAGCGATGAGGGCAATTCCGAGGACGACGAAGACGCTTGGGAGTAGTAGTAAATCGAATTAGAGTTAAATTAGTTCCAGCTATGTGCCTTGCTTTAAGCATTAGTAAAAATTATTAAAAACCATTTTGGGCAGATCGAGCATAACAATTGAGATATTACATTTTTGAGTGTTGCAAAGCGCGGGAACATTTTACTGAGGTTTGCTTATGTCGCATATGTAATTTATCGATAATTATGTATCGATAACAACGAACAGACATTGCAACGATGTCCAGTGCATCGCGTGATATAAATGATTTGTTCGACGAAATAGTGCTTACCGAGGAGAAACACGCTCGTCTGGGCTATTCTGAGGGCATCAGTGACGGCCGTGCTCAGGGCAACCAGGAGGGCTACCAACTTGGCTACGCTCAAGGTGTGCAACTTGGCGAAGAATTGGGAGCCATTTACGGCCAAGTGGTGGCACAACAGCAGCTACCACACACGAAAAAATTGCTGCGCACTTTGCAGCAGCTGCGCGAGCTCATCGAACAGTTTCCGCGGAACAATAACCCAGAGGCTGATATCATTGGCGCTGTGGAGCAAATACGCACAACGCATCGGCGACTGTGCGCTTTGCTGGGCACCAAAAAGGTTGCTCTGCAGAATCCCATCACGCACGAGCACAAGGATTTCAGTTTCTAGAGGCAACAACATGAATTATCTGGGCGACTTGCACCAGCGCCTCGATGGGGTTTTGTCATTTTTAGAACCGTATTGGACTTTTGCAAATTGCCACATGGTCAACTTCATAGTTGACAATCATTGGCTGCATATGGTGCCCCAGTCGCTGAGAGCTGAGCTAAAATCTGTTGATCATGTCAAACAAGCCATAAACATAATTTTTTCGCAAAAAAATTCGCCGCAGTTTCCAGCACTGGCTCAATTTTCGGAAACATGCAAGCATCAGCGATTGGTCAGTTGCCCGCAACTAATAACCAGTCTGGAACAACTGGGGCAACTTCTGCCTGCCACAATGGAGAAACATTTGAGCATTAATGAATTTATGAGCGCTAAAAAGTGCCATGAGGTAGGTGCCAAATGCTACTATTGAATTAATGACAGTTTACTTTGGATCCGAAGCTGGATATACAGTGAAAGCTTCAATAAAGGACAGCTTTTTTGAGAGGGCATCTGACATTTCGTTCTCAAAAGCTCGAAACAAGTTTGCATAGCAACTGAAGACAGACATAGCTGTAGACTCGAATTTGTATATATTAATCAGGAATCATTTATTTATACTTTCTTTTATCAGGTGGATCAGACGGCGGCATTGGTGAATCAACTTGTGCGAAGCACAACTCCAGAGGCCAGCGCCACATGCTACATTGTGGATGCTGGCGATGGAAAAGGATATCTCTCATCGAGATTGGCGCTACAGTACGGACATTGCGTGCTTGGGGTTGATGCCAAAAAGTCAAATACTGAAAGTGCCCTTGCACGCAATCGCAAGCTGGAGGTATGTTTTTCTATTAGATAATTACACAAGTTTTATTTCATTACTTTTGGATTCTTAATGCTAAGTTGCTTTTGCTTATGACGTCTTGTACTGAGAATGGCGCCCACTTTAGTGTCGCATTTGTTTAATCACGCATTTCACCCTCCTCGTCGTCATCCTCCATGCCTTTAATGTAAAGCACATTGTTGCAGCGTATCAGCACTTCGCCTAGATTGCCCGTAACAGATCCCTCGATGACTTCCTCGGTGTTAGCCAGCTGCATGTTCATGTAGCCATCGACGGATACCAGAAAACCTTTGTATTCCTGGCCCCATTTCAGTTTTACGAGCACAGGCTTGCCGGTTAGACCATTTAGAAATGGTTTGGGATTGATGGGCATGCCAGCTGACATATTGTTTGTTTATTTTATCTAACTTTTATGAAATGAAAAAAACAAATACGCGTATTTTCTTGCCGGCTAAAACGTTTTCGCGTCGTGCTCAAAGCAAGAAGAAGACTTGACAGCTGCGGCGTAGGGTTGTTGAATAAATATCGATATATCGATAAATATACGTATTGCGTTTAAGGTGCAGTGCTGAAAAGTGTGTGTTGTGCTAAGCTATTTTTATGAATATGTTTAACAGCACCTTTTTTTTTTGCTGTTTATTTGAATTAGCGCGCCTGGAATGGCCTAACGGAACGCGCCGAGCTACAAAGCCAAGGCATAAGACCATCAAGACGCGGCAAAAAGTCGGCCACAAAGGAAACACCAGTAAACATACCAGTTCAGAACAATTACAAAACTACGTCAAGATTTATTACCACAGAATTGAACCTGTGTGATTTAGTAAAAGAGCATTTTGAGCAGGAGCCGAATGTAACTAAGCCCAGAATATGCCTAACGGGTCTACACACCTGTGGCAATCTGGCTGCGACCTGTTTACAGGTCTTTCATGCCCAGGACAACTGTCGCGTGCTGTGTAATATTGGCTGCTGCTATCATTTATTGCGCGAACGCTATTCGCAGCAGGAATCCTATGAAAACAAGGCATTGATGGAGGAGTCAACTGATTATGGATTTCCCTTGAGTCGTTATTTACAGCAGCGTAGTGTGCGCTTGGGACGCAATGCGCGTATGCTGGCTGCTCAGTCCATAGAACGCACCTTATCGGCCAAGGAGCTACCCAACATATCGCTCTACTATCGCGCACTGCTCGAGATTTTGATATGCCGCCATGCACCGCACTTGAAGAATAAATTAAAGGTGGGCAAAGTGCACAAATTCAATAATTTCTTTGAATATGTGAAAATTTGCGCGAAGAAGCTAAATGAGCCCTGGCTGACAGCTGTAGGAGAAGCAGAGCTAGAGGCATTGCTGCAGGAGCACGATGTAGATTGTCATTATCTGTCCCTATTCTATCTGCTGCGCATGTCCTTTGCGCCGGTGCTGGAAAGCGTGATACTTCTAGATCGCTTGCTGTACCTCAAAGAGCTGGGCTATGAGCACAGTTTTTTGATTGATCTATTCGATGCGGTTATATCACCAAGACACTATGCAATAGTTGCTTTTAAGCCTTAAATGCTGAAGAGCCACACGCTATAGTGCTAAGAATTTGAGATTTATTGAATAGTATTTAAATCAATTGGAATAGCGTGCAATGAAACGTCATATAACTCTTTAACTCAACTTAGATTCATATAAATGTTTTCCATTTTCCTACTTTTATAGTAAAACTGTCAATCATTTGTCTTTAAGTGCATAGTAAATATACAATTACTAGTCTTGACATCAATCTATCTGCCTATGCAATCTTTTAATCAGCTGTTGCTATTGTATTTTATTTTTTATTATCAGCCTTCAACTCGTTATACCCTATATATATTGAAAATACTAAGAGGGCTAAAATGAATGTTGTCTATAAAGGAAAGAAAAGGCTTATCTGAACTTTAATTTCACATTTTCTTGTAGGCGGATCTAACCAGTATGTTTTTATATACTATATGGAAACTTAAAATATAGAAGTATCAGACGCAGCTAAATCACTTTTATATCTCAACTTCTTTTTAATTTTTGTTGTATGCATATATTTTAATGCTGTCTTTCTTCCCTAAAAATAAATAACTAATAATCATTTTTCTCGATAAGTTAGGGTCATTGTAACCCAGCATGTGTCGGGAGTGTGCATACATAGAACTAATTACAGGGTAACTGCTAGTTGTGCTCTCTCCAGTGGAGTACTAATAGTTGTGATTGCTTGTTATCTATTTGTAATCTTTGACAAAGATTTTCCTATAAAATGCGCACTAAAATTCAATTTTAGCAAGTGTTGTTCTAGACGCAGCAATTGTCGCACGTCGGAAATTTGTAAATACAATTACAAATCTACTAGGTCAGTTATGTGTAAATTATAATTGTGAAAAATGTGCTTAAATAAAAATGTAATTACACGCTTTATGAAAGGATATACAAGGGCAACGAATATGGATAAACGATTTGGAAAGCGCATGAAAAAACATTACGCTTTTGTGGATATAAAAAGAGAATAAGCAGATCTATTAATACCTTTTTGAAGGAACAATATTCGCGACCCTATCATAACAATTTCGCTTTCGCGTGTGATTTTATATTGCAACAAGTTAATTGAATAAAAAATTATATTTAAAAGTTTTTACAAAACATAACACTGTAGAAGTGTACACTTAAACTTCTAAACTGGTTTTTTGCAATGCGTACAAACATTTTCAGAACAATATGCAATCAACAATTTAGCAAAAAGTTCACCTTTATAAGCCCCCAGCTTGTTGACCCCTACACATGAATAACATAATAATTATAAATGATTTATGCTCAATTATATGTCGTGAAAATAACAACAAATATACAAATAATATACTTCATGAGTGAATTTTTTGTTTAGCCTGCCCAAAAATGAAACCAAATTCACGCCGTAACTTTTACAGACCTCAAAATGGCTTTAACGGAGGCGCTCTTTCTCATTGTGGGCGTACTGAGCGCTATTTATCTGTGGTTCCAGCGCAATCACAGTTATTGGCAGCGCAAGGGCTTGCCCTTCATGCCGCCCTCGCCCATTATTGGCAATACTGCGTCCGTGTTCACGCAGGAGAGCTCGTTTGGCATGTACATCTCGAAAGTGTACAGTGAGCCAAGGATGCAGGACGAGGCCGCTGTGGGCATCTATGTGGTTAACAAGCCAGCCCTGGTTATACGCGAGCCGGAACTTATCAAATCCGTGCTAATCAAGGACTTCAATCGTTTTTCCAATCGCTATGGACGCTGTGATCCGCATGGCGACGCTCTGGGCTCCAATAATTTGTTCTTTGTGCGCAATCCGCAGTGGAAGGAGATACGCACCAAGTTGACACCTGTCTTTACCAGCGGCAAGGTGAAGCAAATGTATCCACTAATGCTGGAGGTGGGTAGTCACGACCTTGGGGTTTGGTTAAGTTTTGTAAAGAGAATATTTAGAACTCCGGGCTTTGATCAAAACCAATTTGCAGTCTTGGCTTAAGATACGTCCAAACAAATCTAAGTTTAACAATTTATATAGATAGCTGCGGATCTGGAGTCACATTTGGGCAGACATCGTCCAGCACAGGGTACCGAATACATTACCGAAGTCAAGGACATATGCGCAAGATTCACCACAGATTCAATTGCTACCATTGCATTCGGAGTGCGCGCAAACAGCTTGGCAAATCCTGAGGCCGAGTTTCGTAACCAGGGACGTAAGGTCCTCGGGGCCAGTCTGTCGCGCAGCAAGGATTACTTTGTTGCCTTTTTTATGCCCAAGTTGGTGTCGTTGCTTCGCATTAAGTTCTTTACGGAGGAATATTCCAATTTTATTCGCAACACCATCAACCATGTGATGTCGGAGCGGGAACGCACGGCCACTGTGCGCAACGATCTAATTGATATCCTAGTTGGTTTACGCAAGGAGGCCGCCCTGGACCCCAGCAAGCCGCATCTGGCCAACAACAATGACTTTTTGGTTGCTCAAGCAGGTGTTTTCTTCACGGCTGGGTTCGAGACCAGTTCGTCTACTATGGCGTTTGGTCTGCTGGAGCTGGCCAAGCAGCCGGAACTGCAGGAGCGTCTGCGCCAGGAAATCAATGAAGCTTTGGTGGAGGAGGGAGGCAAGTTGAGCTATGAGAAAATCAATTCACTGGGATACCTAGCCATGGTGGTCGATGAGGTGTTGCGCCTGTATCCAGTGCTGCCTTTCCTGGATCGCGAATATCAGAGTATTCAAGGCCAGCCGGATTTGTCGCTCAAACCCTACTACGATTATAAGATGGAGAACGGCACGCCTGTTTTTATACCTGTCTATGGACTACAGCGTGATCCCAAGGTGGGTTTGTGGAACTGCGGCCCAGCGTCTGGACAAATTTATCTATTTGATATATTCTCTTACAGTATTGGCCAAATCCGAATCACTTTGATCCCGAACGCTTCTCACCGGAGAATCGAAAATCAATTGAGCCCATGGCCTATCAACCCTTTGGTCTGGGCCCCCACAACTGCATTGGAAGTCGCATTGGCCTACTCCAGGCCAAACTTGGTCTGGTGCACATCCTGAAGAATCATTATGTGCGCTGCTGTTCGCAGACTCCCAAGGACATTAGATTTGATGCCAAGACCTTTGTGCTGCAGCTGGATAAGGACATGTTACTAGAGATTGTGAACGATAGACTTTATGATGAAAAGGCTGTCTGATTTCAGCTTTACGAGTTTGAATAGAATTAACGTTGTGCGTAATTTAAGAACTTCCATTATTATTAACTTTGTAATAAACGAAATATATTTGGTGACAATAAAAATAAATTTTATTGTCTACAATTAAATGTTGTCTTATCGTATAAAGAACAACTTATCCTTATCTAGGTTTCGCTTTATTTTCTTTTTTACTTTTATAAAAAAAATATACGTGTTGATAATAAATGTTTTTGTTTGTTATTATGTTGAGATATCGCTTTGTAATGCTTATGGGGGAAACGTATAGATCAGTGATTTATATACCCTGAACCCATTGAAAATGGGTAAAAAGGATAAAAGTATCTGTGCAAATATGTGTAACAAGCAGAAGGAAGCATCTCCAACCCTATAAAGTATATACATTCCTGATCAGCATCTGTCTGTCCGACTGTCCGTCCGTACAGGCGAAATTTGGAATTTAGGTCCTTTGTCTGTTTCCGATAATCGGTTACTTGCCCCGTTTCCAAGTAATCGATCAAAATCGATATCGAAATTATAATTTTTGAGCAGAGCTCTTAGGTTTTTAGAGCCAAAACCCGACATGCAGCTTCTAAAATAGTATGTATCTTTCAAGTATCTTTCATTTTATAGCAATCGCCACCACCCCGCTATCACCACATTGCTATAAATCAAGTAAAAATACCAACTTGTATTGGCCACCAATGTAATTTGAGAATACCCGAACATTCTATAGTTCAATAAGATCTACTGTTGAAATTTTCATCAAACACAGAAGTTATTACAGAAAATGTGTCAAATGCCAACGTGAAATATATGTATACATGTGCATACACACATTTGCACGCTTCTTTATTGAATTCTATAAACAGCATTGCAATTGCGATTGTATTGTTTTCTGTGATGTGTGCAATTTTAATTCGTTTCTTTCCCACCCGTGTATGTATACACATTCTCGAGCTGAATGAACTATATGTTTTATAATATCATTTTTTAATTAATTTAATTTTCCCCGTTAAGTCTAAGAAAATAACATCCACATGAAGAGATTGTGGTTTGTGTGTGTAGGCAAAGAATTAATTACACGGCATCTCCTAGTCCCTAGTCTAGCACTTTTAAGTACAGCACTTGTATTTGATTCCGATTGTGTTTTTGTAATCTTTCAATCAAGAATTGCTTATAAAAACGCGCACTCAGCTAAATTTTTGCAAGTGTTATTCTAAGCTCGCTAATTGTCGGTACTTCTAATCACGCAAGGAATTTTGTCGAATTATAAAAATCTTTTAGGTCGGTTTGTGCAAATTATAAGAGTGAAGTGCGCTTAAATGAGAGAAGTGCAATCAAAGACTCAAACGAATGAATAATAAATTAGAAAGAGGGGAGAAAACAAATAAACTTCATTTTATATGAAATTATTCTCATATGAAATCTTAAGGACTCTTTTACTGCAAATTATATTTCACATTTTCAAAATTTCTTCACACCACGGAACAACAAGAAACAATTTTTTCTTAAGAAATTCATGCTGAGTAGAAGTAAACAAATTTAAATCAATTTTCTGACATTTAATTGCTAGATTAGTGCAATCTTTACAAAATATAATCAGGAAATGTAATAAACATGTAAGCCAACATAGTTCTCCTTGATGAACGCCAAGGTTATCCTCTCCCAAATCAGCTTTGCTTATCAATGTGAAAAACAAAAATTTGTAAATAATATATGAGCTTATATAAGATCTTTTTCTGTACGGCAGTTGTCTGTCCGATAAGGGAGAAAAGTGTTTGCTTTGTTTGCCCAAAAATGAATCCAAATTCACGCCGCAAATTTTGCAGCCCCTAAAATGGCTTTGACGGAGGCGCTCTTTGTCATTGTGGGCGTACTGAGCGCTATTTATCTGTGGTTCCAGCGCAATCATAGTTATTGGCAGCGCAAGGGCTTGCCCTTTATGCCGCCCTCGCCCATTATTGGCAATACTGCGTCCGTGTTCACGCAGGAGAGCTCGTTTGGCATGTACATCTCGAAAGTGTACAGTGAGCCAAGGATGCAGGACGAGGCCGCTGTGGGCATCTATGTGATTAACAAACCAGCTCTGGTCATACGTGAGCCGGAACTTATCAAATCCGTGCTAATCAAGGACTTCAATCGTTTCCCCAATCGCTATGCACGCTGCGATCCACATGGCGATCCACTGGGCTACAATAACCTGTTCTTTGTGCGCAACCCACATTGGAAGCAGATACGCAGTAAGCTGACGCCCGTTTTTACAAGCGGAAAGGTGAAGCAAATGTATCCACTAATGGTGGAGGTGGGTAGCGCGAAGTTTTAATCAGGGCTGGAAACTGGAGCTCCGGAACCGACTTACAGCCTCGGCTTAAGCATCACCCTCCCAAATCTAAGTTTGACAATTTATAGATAGCTGAGGATCTGGAGTCACATTTGGCCAGGCATCGTCCAGCACAGGGTACCGAATACATTACCGAGGTCAAGGACATATGCGCAAGATTCACCACGGATTCAATTGCTACCATTGCATTCGGAGTGCGCGCAAACAGCTTGGAAAATCCCGAGGCTGAGTTTCGCACCCAGGGACGCACGGTATTTGAAGCAACTCTGTCGCGCAGCAAGGATTACTTTGTAGCCTTCTTTTTGCCCAAGTTGGTGTCGCTGTTTCGGGTTAAATTCTATACGGAGAAATATTCCGATTTTCTACGCAAGACCATCAACCATGTGATGTCGGAGCGGGAACGCACGGCCACTGTGCGCAACGATCTAATTGATATCCTAGTTGGTTTACGCAAGGAGGCCGCCCTGGACCCCAGCAAGCCGCATCTGGCCAACAACAATGACTTTTTGGTTGCTCAAGCAGGTGTTTTCTTCACGGCTGGGTTCGAGACCAGTTCGTCTACTATGGCGTTTGGTCTGCTGGAGCTGGCCAAGCAGCCGGAACTGCAGGAGCGTCTGCGCCAGGAAATCAATGAAGCTTTGGTGGAGGAGGGAGGCAAGTTGAGCTATGAGAAAATCAATTCACTGGGATACCTAGCCATGGTGGTCGATGAGGTGTTGCGCCTGTATCCAGTGCTGCCTTTCCTGGATCGCGAATATCAGAGTATTCAAGGCCAGCCGGATTTGTCGCTCAAACCCTACTACGATTATAAGATGGAGAACGGCACGCCTGTTTTTATACCTGTCTATGGACTACAGCGTGATCCCAAGGTAGGTTTGTGGAACTGGGGCCCAGCGTCTGGATAAATTTATCTATTTGATATATTCTCTTACAGTATTGGCCAAATCCGAATCACTTTGATCCCGAACGCTTCTCACCGGAGAATCGAAAATCAATTGAGCCCATGGCCTATCAACCCTTTGGTCTGGGCCCCCACAACTGCATTGGAAGTCGCATTGGCCTACTCCAGGCCAAACTTGGTCTGGTGCACATCCTGAAGAATCATTATGTGCGCTGCTGTTCGCAGACTCCCAAGGATATTAGATTTGATGCCAAGGCGATTGTATTGCAGCTGGATAAGGGCATGTTCCTTGAGATTGTAAACGATAGACTTTACGACGAGAAGGCTGTCTGATTTCAGCTTTGAGATTTTCATATATATTTAGGTTGTTCCTGATTGAAGAAATTTCATTATAATTTACTTTGTTATATCTTTTTATAATTGATATAAAATGTTTATTATCTTACAATAAATATGCCTTTAGAGAGGTCTCAGCTTATAAAGAAAATCTAGGTCTTGTTTTATTTTATTTTTTAAATATTTTCAAAACATTGATTACATGCAAAGTGTTTCGAATTGTTATTATGTTTGATTTCTGATAAAACTGCGTAATTTAGACAGCGTTTCGTTTTTAGTAAATAAGCTGATTAAACTATTACCTAATCTAATCGATTCTAGCCTGAGCTGCTTGAGTCTTGATCTTCAAAGATTAGCAAATTGCGTGCCAGCTGTCGATTTGATTTCTAATCAACTTAAATTTTAAAATAGGTAATATGCCATAAAATCTGTTTCAATTACCATTTAAATATCGATTTGGCTTGGAATCACTCGCCAAATTAGGTTCGTACAGCGAGAATCCGAGGCGCAAAAATTGTCGACTTGATTGATATACATACTTACATGCACAGTGTCCAGTACCCTGTCATAAAAATTGGAACTTGAGCTCTATAAATTGTATGAATAATAATTTTTAATATTCATTTCTTCCAGTCTTATGCTATAAGTTTTAGAGAGAGAAAGAGAGGGAGAGAGTATGATAGTATGACAAAGAGGGATAAAGAAAACAGGACAAGAAGAGAGTTTACAAAAATAAACTTTTTAAAAATTATAATAAAAATGTGCTTTATAAGGAGGGTGAGAGAATAAATGATGAGAGGGAGAGAAAGAGAGAGAGAGAGAGCGTGAGATATTAAGAGCGGGAGAGAGATAGAAAGAGAGAGAGAAAGAGAAATATTAAAAGAGAGATAATAACAAATTGGAAGAAAGAGAGTTGTTTTTGAAAAAGTTTACAATAGTACTAGAAAAAAATGTATTGAAAATTATAATAATAATATGGCTTATGAATAGACCGAGAAAGGAAAGTTTAAAATTGATTTTTAATGTGTTTTTAATTTGTGCTACATCTATTCAGCTGTTCGTCTCTTTGTCCATATACCCAAATCAGTAAGAGTATTAGCATTTGCCACACTAAAGTCCTCTTAAAATCAAGCCTTAAGTATTTGCGACACCTGGCCCACCTAATCAAAATATGTATTTTTCCACTCTGAAAATCACAGTTTGAATGTGGCTAAGATTTACAGTTTTAGAGTTACAAGCTTCATATTCAAAATGTCTTTTCGACTGTTTTTACCATTCGACTTCAATGTTACTTTTTGGTTCATAATATTTCTTCTGTATTATTTTAGCCAAAATTTATTTAAGAAAAATATATTTTAGTAATCAGAAGTGTAAAAAAGTAGGATTTATTTATTATATAGATATAAAATATGTGATTTCTATCAGATTTTGAGGAGTTTTTAGTTATACACTTCCATATTCCTTAAATCTTTGATAAGTAGAAAAACTACACAAATCTATTTGAATTTCTGAAAAAACATAAACAATTAATTTTTCACCCCAATCGTAGTTGCAAAAAAAGATCTTTATTAGATCTTGGCTAGACTAAGTTCGGGTCTAATGATTTTTTTTGTACATCAAAATCAAGTTATTTGATAATTTCAGTAAACGGGGAAATTCTAGACAGCACTTCGACTATTTCTTCCACATCTCGCAACTTTCGTTTTGACACGCAAATGGTAGTCAATCAAAATGCATTCGCAATTTTTTTTGAACAATTTATAATGACAACACACGCGAAATTTCAACTTAGTTTGAAGTCAGTCGCTGACAGGTGAATTGCCGCTATCCGCTATCCGAACTCCCGACAAACTTCCAAGCCTAAGTAAGTGCTCCTCAAACGCCCAGGGGATCGCGCACGAGCCTCAAATTAATGCCGCCTTCGGCCTGTAAGATAATCGCCTTGGGATCCAGTTTCATGCGTCGATGTGTGCGTTCCGAGGTGGTTACCAGATGATTGCGCAGCACATAGACCAAGCCCACCTTGGCTTGGAGGAAGCTATAACGCTCGCCAATGCAGCCATGCGGGCCCAAGCCAAAGGGCATATAGGTGTACGGGGTGTGCAGCTTGCGGTTGCTGGACGAGAAGCGCTCCGGCTGGAATTGCTTAGGTTGGGGATAGTACTGCAAGAGAAGGGAAAAGCTTTAAGTACAATAGATACAATACAAAGTATTTTTTAACTAAAGTGCAAGAGGAGTTTTACTTTCTTTTTTTTAGAATTTTCCAACATTTTGAAACGGAGTACAATACGTAGAAAGAATTAAGAGAAGGATTAGTCATAAGACTAGAAAATTAACTGACTTCAATTTGAAAGGAGTTTCTTAATGTTTTTAAAAGAACAATTTATATCACATTTGTCAGTCTACACCCGCTTCGGAATCTTCCGCCTGAAAGCTGGGATAACAGAAAAAATGCCAAAGGTACTTGTTCTTTAAAGAGTATAGGGAAAAGATACGAAAATATTTATTTTACTGCCTAAAACTAGAAGAGTGTAGATTCGTGAGGGTTAACCTAAAAAGGTTTTTTTTAGAAGGTTAGAGAATGAAGATTAATATCTTCCAAGAAATATAAGTGGGAAAATTGCCGTTTGAATTATGAGGAAATGTATGTAAGAAGAGTTCTTTATGCTATGCTTTCTCTATGGATTCCTGGCTCTAGAGGCGGGAATTCCCAAGCGTAACTCACCTGCGGATCCATATGCAGTGCATAAGTCGGAATATAGATGGGCGTGCCTTTGGGCACACAGAACTTGTGAAAGGGCGCCAAGTCGTAGCCATCCTCACTGGTGCACTCACGATCCAGGAAAGGCAATGGTGGATACATGCGCAGCACCTCCTGCAATATCATTTGCATATACTCCAAGGATTCTATCAACTGCTGGGTCACACGTCCGCCGCTGGCAGTCAGCGCATTCTTGATTTCGGCGCGCAGACGCTGCTGCACCTCCGGATGCCTGGCCAGCTCGTACATGGCAAAGGCCATGGTGGATGAAGAGGACTCGAAGCCGGCGGTAAAGAAGATCACCGCCTGGGCCACCAAGATGTCACCCTCAAAAACAAACTGATTGCCCTCCGCCTGGGCTTGCTGTGTGCTCCGCTTGAAGTCAATGAGTAGATCGATCAGATCATTGCGCGGCTGCTTAGACTTTTCGCGCTCCGCCATCACATAGTTGATGGTCTTGCGCAGAAACTCGGTTGACTCGTCGGGCACCACCTTGAAGCCAAAATACGGTACCAATTGCGGCAGAAAGAACACCAAGGTAAACTCCGCCGCACGCTTCAGACTAAACTTGAAGACGGCACGTCCATGACGACGGAATTCACTATTCGGATGCTTGAAGCTATTCGCCTGCACGCCGTAGGCAACCGTGGCAATCACGTCTGTGGTGAAGAGTGCACACAGCTCCTTGGCCTCCAGGTCGAAGCAGCGCATGCGCTCATTGTGGAGCGGCTGTTGACGCAAATACGCATCCAGATTGCAGCCAACCTCGTCGATGAGCTTGAACATGTGCTTGAGACGATTGCTGGTGAAGAATGGCGACAGCTTCAGTCGCACCTCCTTCCAGGCTGGGTTCTTGAGGAAAAATAAATTTTGCGAGCCGAGCGGATCGCCCTTGTAGTCTGAGTTGGAGTAGCGATTGGCGAACTTCGGAAAATCCTTGACCATAATGCGTTTAATCAATGTCGGATCGCGCAACAGCAGCGCCGGCTTGTGGAACACATGTATGCCCACAAAGGGCTTGTCCTGTGCATCCGGATGATTGTAGAGCTCTCCTATAAAATCGGCTGGACTGGTTCGCATGCTTAGCAGGCCACCCAAATTGCCCAGCAGCAGGCGAGGTCTCAACTCCGGCACGCCACGACGTGTCCAATAGGCATAGTGCTGGCGCAGATAATAATAGCCACTCACCAGGAGTAAGACCAAGATCAGCAACAGTGTTCCAAGTGTCATCCTAAGTGTCCAAGCTGCGTTCAGCTACTGTTTCCAGCTGCTGCTCGTGAGTCTCCATTGAGGGTCTAGGCTGTTCGAGATTGGAAGATAGCGACCAGGGTTCATCAGGTTGCAGCACAAGGTCGCCCGTTTTCTGAATGAATGTGTTTTTGCATTGTGCTCAGGGTCTGGTTGCTATTCCTTTGTTGCACAGTGCTAACATATTTGCATATTTGGTTGTAGATCAGCTGCAAATCGAGCTTCAAATACTTTATTTTTGTACATGTTCACGTCTTTACTTGTACAGTAGATGATATGATAGCTATTTGTGTAGTATTCGCTATTATTATATTATATTATCGTATAAACTATGAATTGGACGGCAATCTTGGGCTATGCCGAAGCGCTGCCAATCAGCCCAAAACATAATTATATTATACGTCTTAATTATCAATTTATCTGAATAAGATACATATATCAAATAATATCCCAGTCAAGTCTCAATCGATTCTTCTTTCCTTACAGCCACCATGCTACCTTTCTGCTTAGCTCTATTGCTCTTGGCGCTTCTCTTCAGCTATCTCCATTTGCTGGAACGTTACAGCTACTTCCGGCGTCACCAGCTGCCGTATTTGCCCGTTTCCACCTGGACGCCGTTGGGTCATCTGAAGCAGTTGCTGTTCCTGCGCATTTCCTTTGGAGATCTCTTCAAGAATATTTACGCGGATGAGCACACCCGTGACGCAAAACTCGCGGGTTTCTTTGTGTTCCAAACACCAGCGCTTATGATACGCGATCCGGAGCTCATACGCCTTGTGCTGATCAAGGAATTCAATAGCTTTCTAAATCGCTATGAAGCTGCCGACGCTCGACATGATCCCATGGGCGCGCTGACCCTGCCGCTGGCCAAGTATCCCCAGTGGCGGGAGAGTCGTCAGTGCATGTCGCAGCTATTCACCAGCGGGCGCATGAAGCAGCGCATGTATCCATTGATGCAGCAGGTGCTGATGGACCTTGAGCGGCATCTGGTGAAGCGTATGTGTGGACAATCGGAGCGCGTGCTGCCCTTGAGTGAGATGTGTCAGCTCTATACGACAGATGTGACGGGCAAATTGTTCTACAGCTGGGATGTGGGTGGATTGCGTGAGGGCAAATCCCCATTGCGCCAACAGACCAAGCAACTGTTCAGGCCCGACGTTAAAAAGGTGCTGCACTTCATGTGCATCTTCTTTTTGCCACAATGGACCTGGCTGCTGCGCGCCAAGGTCTTCTCCATGGACTATGCCCAATTCATGAGGCAGCTGGTGCGGCGCCACGCCACCGACACTCAGGTTGACCTGATTAGACAGCTCCAGCAGCTCCAACACGCCCGTCCACACACACACTACGCACACGAAGCGGACTTTATAGCCGCCCAGGCTGGCATCATTTTGCTCGCAGGCTTCGAGACTTCCTCCGCCTTGCTGGGCTTTACCCTCTACGAGCTGGCCAAGCAGCCGGCGCTGCAGCAGCGTTTGAGGCAGGAGCTGGCCATAGCTTTTGGTGGCGACGCTCAGCTTAGCTATGAGGCGGCAGCTACGTTGCCATATCTCAAAATGGTTTGTCTGGAGGCACTGCGTCTCTATCCCGCCGCTGCCTTCATCAACCGCGAGTGCACCCGAGCTGAAGGTTTCGCGCTGCAACCGCACTTCGACTTTGTGATACCCTCTGGTATGCCAGCTTATGTATCCATTTTGGGCATACAGCGTGATGCAAAGGTGAGCTGGAAGCTGAATCCTAAGGAAACTCGCACTCTAATTCCTAATCTTCTAGTACTGGCCCAAGCCTTTACATTTCGATCCCGAACGCTTTGCGCCGGCGCATATAAAAAACATAATACCTATGTCTTATATACCCTTTGGTGCTGGTCCACATGGTTGCATAGGCAGTCGGCTCGGCTTGCTCCAGCTTAAGCTGGGCGTGGCTCACGTTTTGAGATGTCATCGTGTGGAGTTCTGCGAGCGAACGGTGCCCGAAATACGCTTCAATCCCAAGACTTTTATGCTAGAGTCTCTGGATGAATTATATTTGCGTTTCTGCGTTGACCCACTGTAGATAGAACTTATATATATCAATTACTTAGCGGCTGTGATATTCGATCATTAAACTTTATGTAAGTACTGTCCAATTATTTATTACGTTTGAGAATAGTTTGAAGTCAAGCCAAAACTGAATGCGCTGGCTGATAGACACGCAAGGCCGAGCTATTCATACATATATTTCTATATAAAATCGAATTACTTTAATTTTCATAATCCGTAAGCTATGAATTCCAAGGGCCGCTTGGTATTGCATGCGGTCAAAGTTTTGCTACCTAATGAGCCAAATAATTTTAATTGATCTACGATTGAGACCAAAAATCTTAAGATTTGCACAGGTACAATATATTTACCAGGTTATTTTCACCCTCAAACTTGTGACATTACGTGGAGAACAACAGCGCAGAAAGAGTTCTGATTCTTTTCATCTATTAAATTAAACTACTAGAATAATATATTTGCGACAGCTTCAGAGTAAGGCTGAAATGGGAGAATTCTTATTTTGCTTTAATATGAACCCTAACAATTTGTCAAGAATCGCTCAAACATTAAAGACCTCGATAGTTTTGATATGACTATAAAATCTAAATAATTCTGAAACAATATGATTAAAAAGAAAAGGATTCGTTTATGTCAATTATTATTTCAAAATATAAGTTATTATTTTTTTTCATTACATAAATAATTCAATTTGATGCTTCTCCAAATTATCCCTTTCGCCCAGCTTAATCGGATTTTAAGTATTGATTCTTAATCTAGCGTACTTCCATTGGGGTTTGTGTATTTAATTTTAGGCGATATTATTTGAGTTCTGGCGTTCAGTTGGGATGGTCCAGTTTGGCCAGCTTCTCCTCAATGTCCTTGATGCGGCAACGGACCTCGGGAGCTGAGTCGCGCTGAAATTTCGGTAGGTTCGTTTCGAAATTTTGCTTAAGCAGCGCCAACGTGGCCTGATCTCTGGTCAGGCTGAGGCGTTTGATCAGCATGAGGACTATGTTGAGTGCCTCCTTCTTCAGGCCCGTATGAGGCACGCCGGCGGCAAGTGTGACTGCGGCTAGGACATCATTGCAGATCTTCTGCACAATTGCCTCACGTGTCTGCAACGGCGTCGCCTCTGTCTTGGGCTTCTTCTCCAGATTGTTGCGCTCGAGCGCCATTTCTGGCAGCTTGGCCGCCTCATCGAAAATATATAAGCGCTCGACATACTTGGTTAGCGCAGCCAGGAGGCTAACCTGCACGGGGCGAGTACTCTCGCTCAGAATGCTGGTGCAGTTCTCGGCAAAGAAGAGCTGATATCTGTGCTGGGTTTCAATGGCATGCTTGGGCCATGATTTTCCCAGTGTCTCCCATACCACCTCCTTTAGCTTGTTGAGCGTTTGGGCCCGTTTGTTGCGCTCATCGGCGCTTAAATCCTTGTTGGCATTGCTGCAGCCGGGCTCATCCTCATCATCGGAGTCGCCCGTGCGCAGCTCCTTCTTCTCCAGCAAATACCAGATCATGTTGTATACCTCCTCAAAGCGATCCGCCTCCAGCACATCCAGTATTTCGCCTAGTGCAGCCAGTGCCATGGTGCGATAGACGGGCTCTTGTTTGCGCGCCTCGCGCATTGCCGCTTCGATAATATTGGCACAGACCTCGTGCTGACGATCGAGATTTTTGCAGAGCGCAGCCAGAGCCTGCAGTAAACGCTCCTTGCCCTCAAACGTACGTCCCTGCAGGCCACTGAGCAGTAGCTTGATTAGTCGCACACGATCCGCCATCTCCAGGCTGCCACTCAGGCGCTTCGCAATGTTCTGGATGGCATTAGCCGCCTGAGCCTTGCGCGACCAGCTGGCGTCGGTCAGTGATGATTCCAGCTTGGGTATGATTACATGCAAATTGAGACGTATGCCCGCATCGCCGGGACTTATGTCATTCCACAGATCCTTCCATTGCTCAATGTTTGTCTTGTTCTCCTCGTTCTGCTCCTCGTGCATGGCAAAGAAGATCAACGGCAACATACAGTCCATGTAGTCCTTGAGCAACTCGTGGTGTCGCTTATTAATCGATTGTATGGTCAAAGCTATGGAACGATTGTTGGGCTGCTCCATATACAGCTCGTCCAGTTTCGTAAAAAGATTCTTAATGGATTGTTCCTGTGAAGTGAGATAACAAGGCATTGGGTTATGTTTAAAACGGTATTCCAGAAAGTATTATCTCACCTTGGCCAGTCCCATGAGATGTCCAATGGCGTTGGCATTGTATTTGCGCACGGTGACATTGCGATCTTTGATGCCGACAAAACAGGCGCCCAAATATTTTCCCACCAAGGGCGTCATCTCCTTGCCCAGACGAATGCTGACCTGTAAGGAGAAAAGGTGAAATACAAACGACCGACGCAAGTGGAGGATAGGGGATCAGCTCACTTACCAGACACACAAAATGTGCGCAACCAATTTTGGTGCCTAGATTAACGCTGGTTTTCATTAGCTCCAGCAGCTCTGGTGTCATGCGTTCCAGCACCGGATAGTCAATAAAATGTACGCATTTGTTGATCGCGTCCATAGTGTGATGCGATTTGGCTGCCTCAGCGCGCAGACTGTCCACAGCTTCCTGGGCCTCATTATCAGCGCCCAGACGCGTGGACACATACGTCAGCTTGGTATTCTCCAGTTCGCCAGTGGCGCGAAGCAGACAGGGTATGAGTGTGGCAAGATGAGGTGCAATCAAAACGCCCGATGAATCAATCATATCCGATATGGTCTTAATGCTGACCTTTCGTATGTCGGCGACCTTGTGACCCACGCCCGTTTCCAGCAAAAATGGCAGAATGGAGGCAGCCACTGCTGTGCCGGATTTTCCGTGCTCCGATGAGGCGGCCAGAACGCACAGTTTGCCTAGAAATGCGGCTGTTCCATGGGCAGTCATGCGTGTGCCCTCGTGTATGTCGTCCATGACGCGGAACAGCTGATACCAGAGTTCCCTAAGCTCCGGCTCGGGCAGCTCATCCACATCCATGCTGTCGGGCGTCACACGACGCGGATTGACACAGCTGCTGGTCGAGGCCGCAGCAGAAGACGACGGCAGCTGCTCCTCGGTGCGCAAACGAAGACCATTGGACCTCTTGAGAAGATCTCGCACAGCTAGGCAACATGCAATGCGCACTCGCCACTCCGTGCAGGTGAGATTGTCCAGCAGCTCGCGTAGGATTTCCCAATAGTATTGCTCTGTTATCTCCTTAGAGTCGCTGACAATGGTGTCCCATATAGATATCATGGAGTTTTGTATTTTGGGCGTCGGATCGTATTTATAGCGATATAGACGCGGTATTATCTTTCCCAGATATGGTTGCATTTTCTGACGCGATTCCGCGGAGAGCGTCTTCAGGCCAAAGGCGGCGCCCAGTTTGCTAGTCCAGGTGGCATTATGATTGGCCAGTTGCATAAACTGATAGATCATGTCAGGCTGATTGAGATCCGATGCGAGAGAACAAAGCTCCTTGTAGGTGGTTATGTTACCGCCTGTGGGCGTCTTGCCCAGCATGCCCTCGGCAAAAAGCTCAGTGTCGTCAGAGACCTGATTAACCTGACGTTTGCCGCCTATAAGCTGATCCAGCAGCGAATTGGCCAAATCCGTTTGGCTGCTGGAGTCGGAAAGTGCGTAGACTAGACCCAAACCGCGTGAGGACACATCCTGCACGAATTCTGTGGAGGATTAAACATGTTTAAGAAATGCAGTTAGGAACTTAAATCTGTACAACACACCGCTATCATCAGAGAGCAGTTCGGTAAAGGCAAACTGCAGCAGCTGCTTCTTGTTGAGCACAGCAGGTCGATTGCTGCAGTGTTTGACCACCGCCAGGAGCCACACGGAGATGGCCTGACGCGACTGCGGATTGGGCTCGCTCACCAAGCGTATCAAGGCTATCAGAAACTGTTCAAAATCTGTGTCGCTGCAGTGCTGATTTTGGAATTTCTCTGCCGGCGGACCCTTGTTCACATCATAGCCACACAAGGTATTGACAATGGCTTCCGAGATGGCTATGTTCAATGCCGCATCCTTTTGCACCTTGGCCAACGCTAAGAACTTGTCCAGATTGCGTTTGGTAAAGTGCTCCCCATCGCCTATGGCCAAGTAGCCCAAGCATTTGGCTGCCTCCTCGCGTATCTTTTGACGTACAGAGGTGCTGCGCAGCAGCTTGAAGATCACGCTGAAAATTATAAATTTTGTTGAATTCTCAATGCTTGCCAATTCGGCCATCTCTTCGTCGTCATCATCGTCATTGTTGCTGCTCTCCGCAGCAATTTCCACCTGCACATTGGGTATTTCCACCGTCTTTCCAATCATCGAGGTGCATTTGACCGCGGCAGAGACAAGTAGCCACTGCGCTTCATTGAGCATTTTAGCTGAGGATGGAAAGCAGTGGTTAAATATCATACCAACAGTTTTTCCCCGGTCACAATGCTTTTCATAAAATGTAAACTCAATTTTTGGCCTCTTTTCCCAATCCAAGAGTGGATTTCTCAGGGGGAAATTAAAAGTATTTGGACCAAAATTGAACTTTTACTCCCCGAAATGAACACTAGCTCATTGGAACAAAAGCTTATTACCCATTTTAAATGACAATTTAAGGTTTATGCTGTGCGGTATTCAACAGACAGTCAATCATTCAATTTGACAGTACAAATAGTTCTATAATAAACATAAATAGATTCAAGCCATTCACTCACCTATAATCTTCACAGCATTTATAAACGGTGGCCAGTTGGCGTAGTCCTTGCTGGTGTTCTGCTTCTTGAGCTGTTCGATTTTACGATTAAAAGTGTGTCCCACGACCAGCAACCAGCCATGCTTGTGCTCCAGAGTTTTCTGAGTCAAGCTGGTCAGACAATCGCCCACCTCTTGATCAAATTTATCAGCTGCAAGTCCATAGGCCCAGAGAAGGCCATAAACCTGGGCGACATTAATGCGCATTGTTTCCGACACATCCTTGAGAGAGTTGCTCAAAGGCTCGAGCAAATGCAGCTGTTTCGGCGCAAATAGGTCGGGTGCAGCATTTAGCAGATCATAGAGACAAAGCAAACTAGATTCGGCTGCAAAAGATGCACAAGCAATAACAGTTAATTTCAGTTTTCCAACTCCAAATATTAAATTCCGTATAATTTAAAACTCACTGCGCTTGGCCTCTACGCCGCGTTGGACGAAAAGTAGATATTGATGCAGCGCATTGGATTCATCTTCGTCGTAATTAATGGTTATATATTTGCGCAGCTCGTGCGTGTACTTCTCATCACCCGGTGCGGCTACAACGCCGGCAGAGTACCACAAGCAGAGACGCAAATAGTCGAGCATCTCCTCGTAGACGTCTAGGCTGTAGGGAAGCTTGGTGCGTCCCACCACAACGCAGGCGTTGCTCTTCTTCAGCCGCTTGTTGGCCATGTCATGGACATGGGCCATCATCACATGGAAACTAGGCAACAAGACACGTCGCTGCTCCTGTGACAATTGATTAAA